GTACAGACAAATTATAGAAAAGCATTCTGAAGGACAGAAGGCATATCGCTCAGGTGATCACATAGACGCTTATTCAAAAACTTGGGCAAGATATTCCATAACATTGTAAAGCCATAGTTTGTTCTACATCTAGGTAAAACAAAAGGTATTTTTAGAGCGCAGCTCTTAGGGGCCCGTTTCCAGCCTGAGCGGCGTCGCCGTTGGCGTCGGCGTCGCCGTCGGCGTCGGCGTCGCCGTCGGCGTCGGCGTCGGCGTCGGCGTAATTGCGCCCCTCCCTCTCCTCCTCCTCCCTCTCCTTCTCCCCCTCCTCCTCCCCTCCTCCTCCTCCCCCTTCTCCTCCTCCCCTCCTCCTCCCCCCCTCTTCCTCCTCCCCCCTCCTTCTCCTCCTCCTCCCCTCATTGTCCGGCTTGAGCGGCAAGGAGGAAAGCAGTACGAAGGTGGAGGAGGGGGGGAGGAGAGACGAGGAGGCGGAGGCGAGGGGAGGGGAGGAGCTTGAAGGACGAGGAGGTGGTAAAGGAGAGGGAGGGGGAGCAGGAGGGGAGGAGGACTAGCAGGCATGATCACGAGGGAGGAGGAGGAATATACCCTCCACTCCTCCTCCTCAAGAGCTGCGCTCCAATTCGGCGTTACAGGAAGTTGTAAACGGCTTTCACTTTTTTTCCCTAGTTGTATCAGGCGTGTTGGGAAGCACAGTAGTTTTAGAAACAATATGTGAAAGAAAATGACAATTTTTTGCTATTATATTTTTGTAAAAACATGCAAATTTATATTCAGATAAATTATATACAGGCACAATTTTAAACCGCAAGTAAGCCTGCCTGGCTGGGGAATTATGTGGATATTTTGTAATAGCACGTAACGTTTTCTTTTGCAAGATCAGAAGCTTCTGAATATTGGATAGGGGTGCCGCGAACCACCCTAGGTTCGATTTCGAAAGATTTCGATATTTTCGAACCGAACTGATGTTCGAATTCGAAAGGTTTTGATATTTTCGACCGTACGGAGATTTGAATTCGAAAAATTTGCAACTTTCAAAAATCGTGAAGTTTCGAATTCGAAAAGTTCGAAGCTTTCACGGTTTCTAAAAGTTTGGGTTCGATTATTTCAAATATTTTTTTACTTGAGGTTCGAGAAATTCGAAGATTTCGAGCTTTCCTAACTTGAAATTCGAGAGATTAGAATGTTTTGAATTTGAATCCTTTGAATCTGAAATTCCAAAAATTCGAACGTTTCAAATTTTTATAGACATGAAGTTCGATAAATTCGAATATTTCGAATTTCTTTCTACATAAAGTTCAAAAGTTTGAAGGTTTCCATTCTCTTTTAGCGCTAAATTCGAAAAAGAAACTTAGGTTTCAAATTTCTTTAAAGTATAAGTGCGCAAGGTTCGAAGTTCGGTTTTCATGTTCCGCCACAATTTCAGTTTCAAATAACGTTTTCACGCCTCACTGGTTTTCACGAAATCAGGCTTAGAAATGTTCGGGTGTGATATTCACATTGTGCGAAGTTGGTCAAGCAATTAAATGAGACGACGAGTGTCCCGGATGTGCTGGATTATTTGCCAGTGCAGAGTGACGTGTGCAGATCAGTAATTGTGGCCGCCAGCCCGGGGGGGAGGGGGGGGTTTTAACGTGCATCATGCAGTAGTGATCACGCAAACGCACTGTTTAACGATACTCATCCAGTTCGAAACGGCCAGGGGCAGGCAGGTGGTTGAGGCTCAGAAAAACCTTGAAGCGATCTGGCAAACTGCCTCCCACCCCCTGCACGCTGGTAGTAATCCGCTCGAACGCCGCCCGAGTGACGCCGGCATATAGTGAGTTTAGTTTGTACATGATGCAAAATCTCGAGACTGGGAATGAAATTTAAAAAAAGAGTGCAAGAGGACAAAAAAAAAAAAAAAAAAAAAAAGGGGGGACAGGACAATGTCTCAAACTCAGCTCGGGACAACTTCTCAAACTCAACTCAGCTGAAAACTCGGCTCAGGAATAACGTCTCAAAATCAACTCAACTGAGTTTGAGACTTTGTCCTGTCCCCCTTTTTCTTTCTTGTTACACTATTTCTTTCGAATTTCATTCCCAGTCTCGAGATTTTGCATCATGATCAACAGACACCAGATCGCCTGCACCTTGACAATTTTTTAGTTTGTAATTGTTTTGGAGGTTTATTTTTCGGAGACGGAAGAAATGCCGAGCAAAAAGCACAGAAGCCGACAAAACTTGAGGACGAGGAGCGTTCTACCATACCAGCAGCGTCGGAATAGGAAAAACGGGGGGAAGGGGGGGGGGGGGGGGGGGGGGGCTCCAGTCTTTCATTCCCCCCCCCTTCCCCAGATATTTCGGCTGTTAAAGAAAACAATACGGGGAAAGAGGGCATGGTCGAGCTTATTTTAATCTGAAATTATTTATGCATATGTATAGCTCTTCACTGCATAAAAGATCGCGTAGATGATCATTGTTAGAAACTCGTTGTCAGAAGGCACTACTCGTCACATGCTTAGTGGTTTCGGAAGTTTAAAGCTATGGCTTTTCGACCTAAATAACTGTGCCATTGGTAATAAATAATAAATAAATAAACATAACAATAAATGCAAAAAATAAAAACCGGAGAAAAAAAATCTATCAAGAATCCGCCGGAAGTGTGGGTTTCTTGCATATTCAGAGGCCCAGAACTACAAAACAAATTTCTCCTACCAAAATGTGTACAGGCTAAAAGAAACACGTCCCAAAAAAATGAAATAAAAAAAAAAAATGTTTTTTTTTTTGTTTTTTGTTTTTTATGACGTGACGAATTTGAACAATATTAGAAATCTTTTTCTTTGAATTAATTTATTCCTCAACGTGAAAAGAACAATATATACATTAATTTGTATTGTGCAGATAGTAATGATATGTACTGTCTGTGGTTTTAATTTGAATGCAATACCTTGAACAATTTCGACGAAAAAAATTACCAAGTTTAGGGAATAATTGCCTGTAGATACATATTTGGATATATCTTCGAAACTCGTCTTGAACAACAATAATCATATCTTAAGACGACACTTACCTAGGTTATACATTGATCATTCTTAAAAATGTTTTAACATCTCTAACATAAATATCTTCGGATATAGCGCGCTTCAAATATGGCACAAACGACAATTGTCAAAAACCCGCCGTCCTTCCTCGCTCCTTCGAAAATCTTATTCTTTAAAACCAAGCATGCCAGATGATTGAAATAAACGGCATTGTCTTTCGCAAAGAATGCAACACCACATGTAAAATTGCGAGAAAAAAAAATTACGAATGTAACCTCACTGCTTAAACCCAAATGAAACCGCCCGCCCGTCTTTTGAAGTTCGACGGACTTCAAACTTTTACCCTAAAAATTCGAAGTTCGTCAAACTTTTGACTTTTGAGGAATCGTAAGTTCGACAACTTTCGAATTCTTTAGATTAATAAGTTCGAAAGTTAGAAAATTATTGAATTTCTTGGCGTAGGAAGTTCGAAAGTTCGAAAAGCTTCAAACTTTTTAGTGCAAGAAATTCGAAAGTTCGAAAATCATCGATTTTTTTGTCTATCAAGTTCGAAAGTTTGACAAGCATAGAATTTTGCAGCGTAATAAGTTCGAAATTTCGAGCAGTGTCGAACTTCTTAGTTTAACAAGTTCGAAAATTCGACTTCCGTCGAATTTCTCGATATGTAAAGTTAGAAAATTCGAAATCTTTCTAACCTTTCGAAACGCTTGATTCGATCATCGAAACTTCGATTCGAAAAAAATTCGCGGCATCTCTAATATTGGATGTTGTGGTATTACCCCAGACAAGGAAACAGTAGCTTAAATTCAAATAAAAGAAAGCATAATACAAAGTAAGTTTAGTTTTTAGAGCGCAGCTCTTAGGCGCCCGTTTCCGGCTTGAGTGGCGTCGCCGTCGCCGTAATCGTGAGGTCACGTGACCCCGCCCCCAAGAACACGTGGGTTACAGGGAGTTGTAAACGGCTTTCATTTTTTCAGGTAGAACATGCTTATTACGTGAGGTAATTCCAACAGCCTTAGAAAGGGCAAGGCAGATCTTGTTCATGTGGGCGTCCCATGTCATCGTTGCAGTAAAACTAACACCGAAAGATTGAGAAGTTTCTACGTATTCAATGACGGTATTACTCAAAACTAAGGGCTGTGGGTGCGTTACAAGATATTACAGCTTTAGTTTTCTCTTTGTTTATTTTCATTGAGTTGACTAATGACCACCGCGCTAATAACTTCAATACTTGGTTAGCAGTGCCAGTTGTTCAACGTCAGAGGAAAAAAAGAAAAGGCTCGTATCGTCAGCGTACATAACATATTTTGCAAGAGTACTAATATTAGAAATGTCATTTATGTATATGTATGAAACAAGAGTAGTCCAAGGATGCTACCCTGAGGTACACCATTACAAATATTAAGGGGATCAAAGCGAGAGTGATTTATGACAACATATTGTAAGCAATTGCCTCTAATCTAATTTTGAGCCAGCCCCAGAGGTCAGTGGCGCTAGGTATCCCTGCCTTTTTTCAAAGCCAAATAGCTTCCTGGTGGTCGAACTTGACATTCGTCGTCGTGTGTTAGACTATTCTTTAAGGCTTCAATCGCACTGTTCATGGTCTTTGGCCCTGGCTCACCCGAAAGACTTTTTGTTACTAGGATTTCGCTATGTGCGTCTTGAAAAACTGGAATTGGAGAATTGTTTCTGCATGAGCACCGAGTAACCAACATTTCTACTGTGGGCAAGCATCTGAACATGCTTACTTCTACTTCTCTAACAATGGTAAGCTTTTGCTCTGTGCCGAATAAATCCTATCCCAAGGTTTTCTACAGTTTCTGTAGAATCTCGTCAGACATTTGTGGTGCCCGTCCACCGAGATTCATCCCTTGGCACCTTGCAGTCTCTCAGAAAGTCACACCCACGAAGAGTCCCCCGCCCGTGAGCGTGCGACCGCGCCACGGTGCACTATCTCGCTTTGCCCAGATTCCTCGGACCAGTCTGGGTGCTCTCAGGCATCCGGCCACAGTCACGCCACACACTGTCAGCAGGCTTGTCCCTGCAGCCGCCGTGCTTATCCTAGGCCGTATGCTAATCTATCTGGTGCCGATAAGGGAGCAGCGTGCTCTACTCACTTATCTGGCCCTGCCTCTGTGCCCTTCGCCGGCAAGCTCTTTCTGAGGGTCCTGCCACGCCGGAAGCGCGATGATTGACCGGCTGCCCCGGAAGGGCTCCTTCCTCTGCTCCAGCCTCATTTTTTGGCTGCTGCTCAGCCTCGTCCAAGGTACCCCCCTCCCCCTAACAGATTTGGTTGCGGCAGGCATTCAGTTAAGACAGACAGATTCATGAAGTTTGATTAGTCTTATCTGTACTATTAAGTCAACCTCTCTTATTACAGGTTTTGTTATAATGTATGTTCTGATATAACGGACCATAATAGGGTGTTTGTAGGCAGTTTTCCGTTCTTTTATAGTGGATTCCTCGAAAGCAGTCATTATCTTGGACATTATGCGGCTTTGTCTCAGTAGCCTGGCCGCTGTGGCATTCATTATGCATACTGGTGCCGTTGCACTCGGCGCCTTGCAGACCTCGTAAGACTCGAAGCGCACGGTGATGACGTCTGTCGCTATAGTCCGTCGCAACTCGAGAAGGTAGGGCAAGGGAAAGGAGGGCCGGGGAGGAGGAAGCAGATGGAACGCCAGAGAGGAGGGGGGAAACATCCTCCTCTGTTTAGTGCTTCGTCTGCTCCCTCCTCCCCGGCCTTTCTTTCCCTTGCCCTACCTTCTTGAGTTGCAATGGACTGTAGAGCTCAATAAAACATTTCTACCTTGTTTCAAAGTTCAAAAGTTTGGGTAAACTAGTTTCTTCCTTATATCCATTGACATTTCGTCTGTTTCACTGGTTAATATGAACTCCAGTAGTAACCCACGTCAAATTCTGTAGTAAGAGTATGCGTTCTGCATACTCCTTTGATGACAGGCCCAAATCATAGTCACTGTTAAGGTCTGTTATAAACAGTTATGCTCTGTCTTCGGTGTATGTCGACCGACAGACAGACGTTAAAACTGGAGCAAGGCACTGATGGTGGCGGGTGTCCCCTTAGTCTAGCATGCAGAAGACTTCGCATGCAGAAGACTCCGCATCAGTTCCAAGTAGAGTAAACGGCGTTATTCTTGCAAGCGGAGTGTTTCGCGAATCGTGTGAAGTGTATGTTTCGGAGGTATTTCTCTGGCACATAATTTTGCGATTGGGGGTGGTATGCTATGCATTCCTTACCACAGAGAAATAATTTGCGCAATTTATTTTTCGTGATTTATTTGAAGTTGCGAAAGTCACAAAATTAAGTCCTCACAAAAATTAAGTTGCTTACTGTATATCATGTTAAGAAAGAAATAAACTGTATGTTATTGAGAACTTTGCATGTCCTAATATTGGGTTTAAAAGGTCTCAAAGCGAAAGTTTGCAACTTAGCAGGAACAAGTAGTTGGAGTCGGTGAAATGATTATCGACACACCTTATTGCTGCAACCATTTTCGATAGGCAATAACTCAGTGTGTTTTTCTTATTTAATTATTTTCAGTTCGTCGTAGTGTTGATATTTTTCGCAACCATGTTGCCTGCACCACTCGTATAGGTCTTGTTTACGTCTGCTTATGCAAGGTTCTAGGAACTGCACATTATGAATATTTACACGGTACCCAGATCCTCCACCCCAATAGTAAAAAGAAAATTGTATAGAAAATAATGCATACCAGTCTTTAAAAAATGACTACCGTATTACCCCCGAAAGATAACCCACCCCTATTTCTGGCACAATTTTCTACTTTTTCATAAACAGAGAAAGATAGCCCACTCCTAGTAATTGCAGGGCCCTGGTCAATGGTGACCTCAGCAGAAATGGTGTTACTTCACCAAGACGGGAGATGAGTGAACTTTGCTGACTGAGAAAGACAGTCATCTTTGGTTCATTGCCCCTTCCTGCAATCACAAGATTTTGCAGGTCACTGAACCTAGATCTAGCATGTTTACAACTTTTTTTTTATTGCACGCTGAAAGTGAGGCCACCCCTTATTTTTGCCCGATGTGCTTCCGATTTTAGTTGGGCTGTCTCTCGGGACATTATGGTAACTGAGCTGCTTAATGGTGCACATAATAAAAATCTGCAGTGCGTAAAGAAACATTGCGCTACCTGATAATATGGGGTCTATCAAGACATTGGGTCCTGCGGTGCTGGTCTTTAGTTATTTATTTATTTATACATACCGCAACACTTATGTGGGATTTTAGCAGAGTGGGTTACAGTTGAAATATAATCGTTGTAAAATAAAAAAAAAATCAAACAAGAACCATTGTATTGAAAAAAGGGGTTAGGTAAGATTTCACGGGATGGGGATCGTGGCAGAACTGGGAGTCTGCGTCATAACTGTTCTGTTATTGCAAAGAGTAAAAGAACTGGACAAAATTGTTGAGAGTGACACATTCAAGACGAGACATATAGAAGACGATGAAAAGCAGAAGAAATGTAGAAATGGGGAGCACAACAGGGAGCTTCCTGAGCATAGAAAGTCTGGTAGTTAACGAGTGAGCGAAGGTACCGTAGGTGTCAAAACTGGGAATGGGCTGAACATCAGTTATTTCCCTGCACACCGTCTTGGCCAGAGACTTTAGTTTTTACTACCCTGGAGATAAAGCCAGCTAAAATTTGTTACTCTGAGGATGCAAGCCTTTGGGGCTATAGTTACTCATCTTTACCATGACTGCCATACATTAATGGAGAGACACAGATCTTAAAAAAAAAAAGACTGAAATGAAAAAAAAAATTTTTTTAAAGGGCATAATTGGGATGCATACTTTTTCGTGACTTTTGCACGAAAAAAAAGAAGAAAATTTTGGGTGCAATATTTGCATTGTTAGATGCAATTTAGGTTGAGGTCATGGCCCATTCTAAGCACGGCCCACAGATTGGTGGCCCCACCCATTACTACTGGATTGGCTTGGCTGCTTGGCCAAACATGCTTGAAAGCCTATGTCTACATTTTCCCGACATTCAGTGCCTCTAGTCTGGAAGTCTGACAGCGCCTACTAGTCGTGTGAGCAGATGCGCGGCCACTTTCGGCATCGTCTGTTATTCTATACCACCATAACTGGGCGTTGGTATCTATTTTTATCTTTGTCCGTCTGCTATTCCACCTCCGTCTAAAAATTTCTGCGATGCTTGCAAGACGCGACCATGAAAATGCCGTTCTAGTGCTCCATTAGGCACAAGCCACGGTCCAATACAAGCGTCTGTCGATTTCGGGTAAAAGCGAACGAGAGGACTAAAAAAAAATCAACCAAATGAATATATACTCCTTCCAGCTTTTCTGTTCTTGTTTTTGTTTTGCACGGCATCTGCGAGCAAGGTGGGTGAGCATCGTGACGCACGACTAAAACACGACCTAAAAATATTCGCAAAACTTGAGAGCTACTTTCCTTTCAATGCAAAATGACGGGAACAAACCTGATGTAAGCTGAACACCCGATTGCCTCCAGCCAAATGGCTCACAAATTCTTACCCGTGTAGGTATCTTCTCGGTATTGAAAGCAAGGTCGCAATCACAACGGTTGCACCATTCACAGAGCGGTGGGGCCACTTTTTTGGGAACTAATATTTTTATTCAACGTCAGCACGCGCAAAAGAACAAATTTTCTGAAAATTTCAATTGGAAAATAGCGGCCGACAGAGTTTTCGAACACGTAGGGCTTTATGGCACCGGAAACCAAAAACGGGCAAAAATGGGCCCCACTTTCTCATTTAAATTTTCAGAAAATCGCTCATAACTTTTGAATCAGGTATCGGATCGGGCTGAAACTTTGGCATCTGGTTGTGACCTCTAGCGCTACCTTTGGGCAGAGAATGAGCGTTCAGCGATGCCTAGTTTATTTTTTGCGGAAAAAAAACAAACGTAAATTTTTTTTTATGACACCTTGTACATCGGGGCTTTTTACTCGTGAAAAGAATTAGGCGTGGCGCGGCATTCCGGCCTCCCAACAATTCCCCTCTGGAAGCGGTGCAAACAGAATGTTTCGGTTGTGATTCAAGGTTAGATTGTGTCACGATCATGAGTAAATCTGAATGCTATAAATTTTCTGGCGCTCGTTACTTTTCTTTCTTCTAACCTGTGCGTTAGAGTTTTGTGGAATGGTAGGACCAAAAGGTGTTTCTCACATGGTCTGTCTAACATCACGGCACTAACATCGGGAGAAAAAACGACTCTTTTGTCAGCTCCGTGCCGACCACACGTTTTTGGCTGAATATATTGAATATTCGAGTTGCCAAATACTAGGAATTCGATTCGCGAATCAAATTATTCGGGAACTTACTATTCAATTCGAATTCATATATTCGAGTATTTGCACACCCCTAATAATCAGTGTTTAAATCTGCCACGGCTGAAAAAAATACAAAGCATTTATTGTAGCTGATTTAGCAAATCTTATCTAGATCAGCTTCCCACTGGATACTGATTGCAGGCCCCCCTGTGCCTTATGCACAGACATCTGACCATTCTTTTGCCAGGCAAACTGGTTGTGCTTTAGGGGCGAAGCTCCTTAGGGGCTAGCCATGTCCGTATGTCCGTCCGATGTCGGGCGTCGGGTGCTCGTGCCCACGAGCACGTGAGCACATGCTCCCGTGCTCGTGTAGGGGAAAAAACAAAAAAAAAACGCATCTCCACGTGGTGAACGATGTTGATTGGGGCGAAGTTCTGATGGTGCTTGTCTGCGTAGACTGTGAGCCGCAGCATGCGGAGCCTTTCGTTAGTTTTCATCCATGTCGGAAAGAGAATGTGTGGTATGGAACGTGGTTATATACGCATTTGAGCATTTGACCGCAGCGTGACATGGATGAAAATGGACGAAAGGTTCGGCATGCTGCGGCTCAGCGTCTACGCACACAAACACCACCAGAGCTTCGCCCGAATCAACATCATTCGCCACGTGGATATGCGGTTTTTTCTTCAGCTTTAATTCTTATCATCTAAAATAACTTCTTGTTTTGCAGTGTCAGATTGTCAAGCAGATACACATGGATCTGATGGTCTTTTGAAGTCCTTCCTTTGCCATCTAGTGGTCACGAGTAGTGCGCGACACAAAGTGAACGAGCACGGCTGGAGTTTAGTTGCTAGCTCGTTTATTTTCCTAAGTGGGTTTTTATAGTCACTTTGTGGCAGTTTGTGCATTTCTAGGTTTTGTGTCCTACTGTACTGCTTTAGGCTGTTGACTTGTTTTAGTTTATTAACTTTCTGACTAGCGTTGTCAGCCTCTTTTTTTCCACTCTTTTTTTTTTTTTTCAGCATTACAATCTCAGCGGATTGGAGTTTCATTTCCTTAAGTACCTCGTCATATTGTTTGGACATATGCTGAACAGATTTTTCCAGCTTGTTCACAGTTTCTTAAACCAACATCCCTTCATCGACTTTGTATCTTATTACTGGTAGTTCTGCTAGCCTCTTGTTGATTTCTGCAAGTACCATCTCAGAAGCAGCCTGGGGTTTCTGTCGTACGGCAACCTCAGTCCCTCTAAATTTCGAAGTTTCATGTGTTTGACATTTCCCTTTTCTCTGCCCCATCTGCCCTTTGGCCTTGTAGGCTATTTTAGAAAGGCCAGAAGGTGCACCCAGGTGATAACTGTAGTCACATTCCGAGTATGTTCCGTTCACAGGGAGTGACTTGTTACCGACCAAACATAAATCGGGTACATTCATTTGAGGGCAGAACAAGAGTAGGACAACACTTCAGTAGCAACAGTGGCGGCAGGGAATGCTCCGGAATTGTGGAACACAACCTGCGAATTTCGAAGATTGTGAAAAATGCCGGGCCGCTGTCACCGCCGCCGCCACCGCTGAGCAAGTGGCCCGGAGCTTGCAGAGCTTGTTCCTTTAACGACACTTGATGGCGTATTCCAGATGCAGGCCTGCGGACCAATCACTTGAGTGGCCCTGGTTGATGAGCTCGCAAAGTTGATAGTCAGCAACGGCTCCAGCGATGTCTACGAATTTCGAAGGTTGCAATTAATGGCGGTCTGCTGTCACTGCTGCTGAGCAAGGCAGGGAACTGCAGCTTATACATAGAGGTCATAAGTGTGTGTTCAGTTAATGCATCCCTTCCTGAAACGATAGAATGAGCCAGGTATGAAACGATAGAATGAGCCAGGTATGTTACCTTGAGAACCACCGTGATGTCCCAGCCTTCAGTTAGATCTAAGATGTTTCTCACGCCCTCTGCTCTCATCAGTTGGTTAGGAAACAAGCCCCCTTGGTATATTATAGTTTCCAGTTTATAAGTCACACCTTTGTGTGACTTATAAATCGGAAAACCTTTTACAAAAAAATGGCTGCTTTTAGAAGAAAAAAAAGATGGCGTATAAATTGCACGGTCAGCTTGGCGAGACTGCATTGGAAAGCCTGCATACTTGTACTATGATCGCTATATATGCGCAAGTGAGAGCAATTTTCAATATTCTCATCAACAAATGGAACGAGAAATATAACCTCTGTGATGAATTTCTACAGTCAAGGTATACACATAGAAAAAAAGTGAATATAAGTCATACACAAGCATAAAACACACCAATAGAAATTTTGGAGAAAAAAACATGGGACTTATACATTAGAAAATGCGGTAGTCTTGAGGAATGGGCACAGAGTGGAGGGAGAGATTCCTCGCAGCTCTTACTTTAAAGACTGTTTCGGATGTTTGTGCTCAAGTGGGGCCGACTGCATTACGACTCTTTGCGCTCTCTTATCACTCGTTGGACAGGCCTTAGTTGCCATAGCAATCATTTCGTCATAAGTAGTTATAAGCGACCATAACACAGTCAATTGCATTCAAACACGTCCGTCTGATTTAGCATTGAGAGGTGTTGGCTGTAGTGCGCGTCCACCGCACCGCCGCTAGTCGAGCCATGCCCCATGTTCCCCCGTGCAGACGGGTCTCCTCCCGCCCCCCACGGCCCCTGGCGGCCCCCCCAGGGCCCCGTGGGCATCCCCGGCCGCTGTCTGCGCTCCCTCCGGTGGGCCCCAATCCCGCTGGGCCTGGGCTTGGCCTACCTGGCCTACCTACGCAGCCTGAGGAGGAGGAAGGCACAGGAGGAGGGCACACAGCCCGTGGCCTCCGACCTCCAGGTACGCTCCCCGCTGGGCCGCAGCTTTTCTAGGAAGCACGCCCATTCATTTATTTGAAAATATGCATTCCAAAATGGGGTGTTCCGGTGCGTCGCAGCTCCCAAGCGTTTGACACTCACAAAGGCACGAAATTGGTCAAAGGTTTCCGTAATGTTTTGAACCGCCCCCTCCCCAGTATGTCAGCTTTGTTGATAACGTTGGGGTCGTTTGGAGAAGGACGGGACAATTTAATTTAAAGTAAAGTGCATGCCAAGACTGACTTGTTTCCATGATCTGCCGCTCTCCCCGTCTAACCTGTTCTTGATCTAGACAGTCTCATGCTGGCCACTATTTTGCTTTAAATATTTTACAATTTTTTTTAGTAGTCAGCCACAAGTATGCTTTTATGCCTCGTGGTCATCATGAAATTTTAAAAGATATGAGCGTCGCTTTTTCTGTCGCAAGGTTTCAAGAGAGGCGTAGCAGGCCATTCCAGAGACAAATCAAGTAGCCATTGTCTACAAATACGGCTCGCTGTTATCTTTGGTAAGAGGAGGATCTGCTAGCGATGACGTTGAGGGAGGAAAGCCGGAGACCTCGTCTTCTAGGTGGTATTGCTGCAGCGGCATCCGTCTGCCGGCCTCCCTGGCGAGGACTGAGACGCTGCCTCTGCGCAGGTCAGCTTCTACCGGATGCTGCCCCTGCGCATGGCCTCCCGCTGGTGGGGCTGGGCCAACGACATTGCCCTGCCCGTGTGGTTGAGGGGGCCCGTACTGGGCCTCTTCGCCTGGGCCTTCGGCTGCGACCTTGAGGAGGCCCAGGACGGGGAGCTGCGACACTACCGCAACCTGGGCGAGTTCTTCCGCCGGGCCCTCAAGCCAGGGCTCAGGCCGGTCTGCCCGGGGGACTGCGTGGTGGGTGGACCTCCCCACCTTTCTTTGTCGGGCCCCTCTTGGGGGGACACATCGGCGGAGAAAACCAGGAATTTTACTCGGTCTGGAAAGGGCTCTGGTCGTCTTGACAGTCTGAAAATCTTGGGAAAATACATTTTACGGTCACAGCCGTCATAAGAGGTTTTCGCTCGGCTCGAAGTGACGGATCGGAATAGGAAATTGCCTTACAACCACCGGCGGTATGGTCAAAGGGACGATTTGCAGTAGGTGTTGGGTTAGCTGCGCTGTGGTGGCTTCAAAATAAAGTAAATTACGGGTGTAACTTCCTTAATTAAATAAACATTTACAGTTGACTTTTATTAATTCAAACTCTCTTAATTCAAACTTGCGGATAATCTAACATTCAGGTCCCATCCTATGCGTCTCTATGGGAGGAAACTCCTGATAATTCAAACCTTGCTTTATTCATACAAATTTTTGGCTCCCATCGAGTTTGAATTACCGAGATTTTACTGTATTTCGTATCGAATGGTCGCAAGTGGTCGGCGGAAAAGGTTATAAAAATATATACCCAGACATGATTAAAATAGCGCAAACTTGACAAGGAAAACAAAGAAGGCACACGTACAAGAAGATTGGTGCTTAGTTCCAACTAAGTTTATTTCATCATCAACCAAGCAGTATATACCATCGCCAACGAACATAAAAACCCCAAAACACAAAAAATAGTTATACATTAAGATTATATGCAAACCACGCGCCTTTCTTTAGATAAAACCATCAAGGAAATATAATTCTTTGTCAATGAGACACACCGACGGCATGCTGACGCACTTGTCTCCCGCTTTTTTGATGAAAAAACGCCTCTATAATTTCCCTCTCTGTCTTGTCCTTTGCTTTCTTTAGGAACTTCGTCATATTCAAAAGCGGTTTACACCCACATCGTTTAACGTGCTCAGCAAGGTGACCACCCAAATTGCTTCGTACAGCCAGATTATGTTCGCACACTTTCTCATTGAAACACCGACCCGTTTGTCCAACGTAAACGCGGCCACAGCTAAAAGGAATTTCATAAACAATCCCACTTGTGCAGTTAAGGCCCGTTCACACACTTGCGTTCGGAGCGACCACTGTGCTTACGAACGAATGCAACCGCTGCGACTTCGACGACAACTGTGCGCGACGTGTACACACAGATGCAACCGGATGCAACCATACGAAGTAACGGGTCCATATCACATGAGCGAATGAGATTTTAGCGAACAGCGACATTTGAGCGAATCAACGTTTTAGCGAATAACGGGGGCGCGCGTTAACCCATCCGTTGCGCTGCGCTTTACGCCGCTTCGCGGCGACAGTCTGCGGCGGCTCAATACAAAAATGTGAACCCATTTGGCCCACCCGAAAATGCCGCTTCGCGGCGTCCAACTATTCGCTAAAGTGTCATTCGGTGAAACGTGGGCGTTCGCTAAAACGTCATTCGATCAAGTGAGTGCCTCCCCGAAGCAACATCCAATGAGAAACGAGCTTCAGCTCTTAACCCAGCTACGCTTAAAACATGGCGGACAGTTTCGTGCCCGACGCGAGGTCCTCAGGCTCCTCACAGGAGCAGCCGGAGGTTTCGGCTACGACGAACAGTCACGAAGATCTGCTGTGCGCCTACTGGTTCTGACATCTGCAACGAACCCGTTATCCACGACTGCATCCAATGTGACCAGAGCGACCGGAACGACCGCTCTGCGCCGCGCGTGCACTCCTGCAACCACTGCCACAAGCGCAGCGGGTCGGCAGCACGGCGACCGCCTCTCCGCTGCCGTCAGCTGTTTCAGCGGTGCCTCTAAAAAGAAGGGGACGCTCTGCCACTCACTTGCGTAACCGAAAATAGACATATTGTCTTCTATTACCTAAACTTTTTTTTTTTTTTTTCAGGATACGCTTGCAGGGCAGCGCATTTAAAAAAAAAAAAAAAAAGAAACGATGCAGTACGCCGTTTTGCACGATCATGACTTTAATACACGACTTTGCCAACAATACGAATCTCGCCACACGCCTTTTCTACGATCATAAAAGACGATTTAATTTTAGCAGCGATATAGCAATGCAGAAATATAATTTCGTGATCAGATAGACGTTGCGAGCGTTCAGGATTGTTAACACTAATCACCTTTCTCAGGTGATGAAAACGCGTGAAAACTCGCATCCTTTATGCGGTACGCACCAGTAATACCTTGAACTTGAGCACATGCGTGGAATGCGCCCAAAAGAAATCCGGGCGATGTTCGAGGACACGAATGCTAAGAAAGCACCACTGTAGTCGAAGTAAATAAACACGACGGCACGGGCGTTTCTGCAGTCTTGAGAGTGCCGCCACGAGATCGCCGCACGAGTAGGTGGATCTTCCCTTCTAGTACGTGCTGGGTTATCATAACGGCACACAATGAAAATTCACAGTCAAGGATAGCGCTTTTACGGGACACGATAAGCGTTCACCACGCCGTCCATGTCGACGATCACCAACGACGCCATGTTTGCAAGTAGAAGGAGCCTGGCACGACCGGTATGCAGCGCGCGCGACCGAGCTCCTCGACCTGTGATTGGTCTGTCGCTCCCGTCGTTCCCGAACGTAACGAAAAAGTTCAGCCCGGCTCAACTCCTTGCGTTGCGAACGAACACGAACGAAACGACCGTTTGGCGCTTCGTTGCTATGGTAACTCGTCGTTCCAACCGGTTGCATTCGTTCGTAAGCATAGTGGTCGCTCCGAACGCAACTGTGTGAACGGGCCTTTAGTGTACATGACGGCATGTCTTTTTGCGCATTGATCACTTTTTTTTCCTTGTAAGCATAGGACATATCTTGCCAAGCTTGCAGGGGGCCGAAAAAAGGAGAATAATACCATATCTACCAGCTATCTCTTTCAAATTATGCGATACCCTGTGCATATAAGGCACAACTTGCACTCTTTTTTTGTTGATCTGTTCTAGAGTATGTTTTTCATTCTGCGATTCTTTAAGTTTCTGTAATAGACTCTCGCAAACGCTTGAAAGTAACATGTTAGGGTACCCTGCAGATTTTAACTTCCTAAACTGCTGATCGAAGGCGGTTGACATTTTGTGTTTGCAACTTTTTGTGAGGGCAGCCAGTAATTTGTAGCTATTCCTCTTTTTATAAGTTTGGAGTGGGCACTTTCAAATGACAAAATACTTTTTTTGGATCGCGGGTTGTACATCCAGCACAAGTGTTGCCTAGAGAAATCAAGCTGTAAATCTAAAAACTAAATGCAATTCTGGTTTGCGAATTCGCAAGTGAAATTTTAACCTCCCGAGTGACTATTAAAAATGTCGATAATTTTTGAAGCAACATCAACTTCATTTGTCCCAGTCAAATCTCCTAAAACAACTAAAAAATTGTCAACGTATCGGTAAACCTTAAGCACATGTACATCTTCGAGAGACCCAGATATACGTTTCTCTATTTCGCCCAGATAAATATCGCACATCACTGGGACGACAGAAGACCCAATACATATACCATTTATTTGTATAAAGAACTGGTCATTAAGGCTGACAGCTGTCGACTTAACATAGAATTCCAGGAGGGTTGGAAAGTTCTCACAGTTCATCCCAGCCGAATTTCGGAACTTGGTCCGTCCGGATTCCTCGATTTTGTCCCTCACAGCATTCAAGAGTCCATCATGTGGCACTGAATAATACAAGTCTTCTACATCCACTGAGAAGGCTGATCTGGCCGTTATAAGTCCGTCCTTGATGTCCTGTACTATCTCCATAGAGTATTTTTACAAAAAAAGGATCATCACATGCCAACGTATTCAGTTGACGCTGTAAATAATGGCTCACTTGGACTTGCCACGAATTCTTGACCGATACTATTACCTGTAGAGGGCACTCTGGTTTGTGAGTCTTTCCGGAAAAGAACACTTCCAAAACACCACTTTCTGCTTTGTTAACAGCCTTTTGTCGGCTATTCAGGTTCAAGTCCGTTAGCATCTTGAGTGCTGTTGTCTTCTGTTGCTTAGGCCGAAAGTTAATTGTATTAAAATTCTTCTCTGTTGCCGATTTTGCCTTGTCTTGAAACATGCCTTCAGGCATAACCACGAATCCGCCTTGCTTGTCCGCTTGTACAGTTGTCGAACCACTCTGCTTCAAATAATTGACTACTTTCTGGAAGGGAGGTTTTCTTTGGGGTTTCAGACTTGCTGTGCGACTCAGGCTGTCCACTCCGTCACCGATGAGTCTCTCTCTGTCCTGTTCTCCAGCGCTTCCTGCAACACGATGAACCATGGCTAGTAGCTGGTGCCGACTGGAAGAAGGTTCGTAGCTGTACTTTGGGCCTTTTTCCAGGACCTTGTGTACACTTTCCGGTAGTGGGACGTTCCCCAAAATCCTGACGTTGCTATTTGTTGCTGTCTCGTGGTTCCTCCTTGATGAAGGTAGGCTTAATCGCGCTCTCTGCCACAGAAATTCTGTAGTCTGTTTTGCCAACTTCCCATACTCTGCATACCGACGGTCTTGATTGTGGGATCCGTCTTCTCCTTGCGCGATGATCCTCAGCCAGTCTTGAAGCAGACAAACCTGTCTCCAGTATTCAGATTTCAGGATCTTGCAGATTCTCTTTGCATGTCCCCAAGGTTCCAGTACTCCGAACAGAGCTTGAACCTCTAAAGGAATGTATTTCCTTTTTACGCAGTACGCCAGGACCCGGGATTGGCAGATGGAAATGGCAATAAGGTTGATACAAGTGATGGCAGGTTCTTGCTTGGATTGATGAAAAAGGAAAGGGCCCAGGGTAAAAGAAATATGTTGTAACACGGCTTTTGTTTGGGCTAGTTGGTTCTTACTAGACATGATTAAAATAGCGCAAACTTGACAAGGACAACAAAGAAGGCACACGTACAACAGGACTGGCACTTAGTTCCAACTAAGTTTATTTCATCATCAACCAAGCAATCAATATATACCATCGCCAGCGAACATAAAAACCCCACAACACAAAAAATAGTTAT